TGTTTCCAATACATTCTTGTTCTCTCTCAACACTGCTCTAACATCACATGCGCATGGCAACGCAATCAGGTGAACAGTTCAATTTTAATTCAGTGACTTTATGAGAAGGATTACAATGAAATCTCAGAAGATGCAGAATGAAATTTCAAACATATTTCATGTAAACTTAATTTACAATGACTCTCTGGGGCCAGAGTTGTCTATCATGTTGTCCACAGGGGGGAAGCCAGAGTCCTGCATGCGGGCGGGTACACGCAGGTGAATCGCTAATATTTGATGTAATGGGTGGAATAATATTTATGTGTAGGGTGTGGTGCGGGTGCTGTAGTGATTATATTAGAGGGAGCGCTCTTTGCTTGCTTTCTGTATTTAATCTATTCACAATTTGAATAAAAGTTTTAATAAATGAGTTTTGTCTACCTCATGTAGGAGATTTAATGCAGATGCGGAGTTTTTATGTCAAATGGGTCGGGTATGGGATTAAATTAGTTTTGCTGTCAGATAATGTGTTTGGTGCTCTGTTAATTACTGCGATTGTGGGAAGATCATTTCACCAGCCAGGAAAGGTGAACGAAAATGCCTGTCTGTGATGTTACCACGAGGCATCGCTTACTTACAGATCTCAGGCTTCTGAAAGGGGATGTAGATTCGTGAGAGTGAGGAGGAAGCAGGAGGGTGCTGAGCCTGTGGCTGTTCTGTATGCAAACATCAATGTCTTGAACTTGATTGCGAGCTGCAACCGGTAGCCAGTGCAGAGAGATAAAGAGAGGTGTAACATGGGCTCTTTTGGGCTCGTTGAAGACCAGTCGTGCCGCTGCATTCTGAATCATTTGTCGAGGTTTGATTGTGCATGATGTAAGTCCAGCAAGAAGAGCATTGCAGTAGTCCAGCCTAGAAATGACAAGAGCCTGGGCAAGAGGTGCAGCATATGCTGTTTGGAAGGGTCTGATCCTCCTGATGTTGTGCAATGCAAACCTGCATGATCGAGTTGTCTTTACAACATGGTCCTTGAAGGTCAGCTAGTCACCAAAGAATAATTTTTGATGAACCTAGCAGGATGATGAAATCATGCTGTAGAGTTGGAGTGGCAGGGAAAACGAGAAGCTCAGGTGTTCCTTCATCCATGCCGAGATGTTTGCCAGGCAGCCTGAGATCCATGCAGCTACTATTGGACTGTCTGGTTGAAATTAATGATAGAGCTGTGTGTCATTAGCATAGCAATGGTAGGAGAAGCCATGTCCTTGTATAATGGGTCCCAGTGATGTAGTGTATATGGTGAAGAGGAGGGGTCCAATAACTGATCCCTGAGGAACCCCAGTGACCAGTTGATGTTCTTTGGATACCTCTCCTCCCCAGGAAACCCTGAAAGATCTACCTGTGAGATAAGATTAGAAGAGAAAAGTAAAATGGTCGCCATGGCAACCTCAAGGCGTTTTTGCGATGGCTCCATTTCTGAAAATGTTCAGGGCCCTAACCTGTACAACTGTACCAAGTTTCATGCTTTTATGAAAAAGTGAACATATCACCTCAAATTTTGCACATATCACCTGGACTATGAATCTTATGAATCGTTTCGATTCAGTTGTTCGGAACTCGTATCAAACTGTAGCCTATCAAATTGGTTTCAAACATTTCGAAATACCGAAGTTTCGCCGCCAGATTGCATTGATCTGGTTAATCCATGAAAGAGTGTCCCTTGACTCTTTTCGTTTTTCTTAAAAATAAATCAATTAATTAATTAAAAAAGCGATTGTCTGAGCTCGTCTGGGACCGTTTTCTCAGCTTCCTGCATGAAGTAATTTTCCTGTGGCTCTATTGTAATTAATTAATATATGCTTCATACACACAAAAAGAAAAAGTCCCGAACTCTTCACCACATGCACAAGTTGTTTGTTCACCCAACAGATCAAACAACATTGTTTCTGTAGAAATCAGACCACAGCAGGTTTCCGTTTGACTTTGAAATGCTTTGAAGTGAGCTGAAGTGCTAGTATGGTTGTGTAATGATGTGAGAGGGTGACCGGTTTCAACTTTTTTGTTTCGCCGAACATAACAATTAATAATCAAATTATTATTAGCTAACTAGCTATTTTAAAACCAATTACCTCTGTTATCATTAAATTAAGGGAGATCCATTCAATATTCTTCTACTTGCTTGTTTAACATAGACAGGCAATTTCAAAAACGGTCATATATAATTTAATCAATGTTAAATTATAAGGAATTGGGAATGTATTAAAATCTTATTAAGGGCTAGAAGAACATTTATGTATACATGAAACATTAAATACCATATAAATATACACAACGTGTTCAAAAAGTGTGAGGATGATATATAGGAGGGTCAGACTCGGGGGCGGATTCAGGTTGACACATCAGATTAACAGAGTGCTTTTGGTGGATAGTGGTACTAGTTTAGACAAAGAAGATGTTTTATATGTTTGTTTTGTTCGGGTTGTGCTGGCGGTGTCTGATTGGTAAGTTATAAAAGCATTTTATGCCTTAATTTTCATCCATTTCAGAGCAACAAGCCACTGCTACTATTTAAATGTGTCTATTTTCGTGAGACCTCTCATTTGAATTCAGATCTTGGTTTGTGATTTCCATTTGGGAGTTCCTCAAATTTATGAGTTCCAGGCTTAGAAAAGTCATGGAAATTAATAGAAATTGTCATAATTTTCCATGACTATAAAATTTTATTTTGGAAATTTCAAGTGAATGTAAACTAATGGAGGCTCAGAGATCCTGAGTAGCTTTCAAATATCTGGGTTTTTTTGTTTTTTTGGTTTCAAATGACTGCTGCACCGTTGCCAGCCATAATTATAATATATATATATATTTTTTAACTTTTGTTAATCATAAACAAAAGGAAATCGGTCAAAAAGTGAGCAAAGTGAGTTAGATTTGGTGAGCTTGATTTTCTTTTTGGTTACACTTTACTTGAAGGGGTGTGCATAAGACTGACATGACACCTTCATAATCATGACATGACACCTACATAATCATGACATGACATGTCATGAATATGAAGGTTTTTTTATGCATGTTTATGACAACTGTCATTAAGTGTCATTCGCTCAGTTATGTACTTTTTAATGCAAAGATGACATTGTTTGAGATGTCTTTGTTATGGGCTATGGTTAGGGGTAAGGGTAGGGGTAGGGTTAGGTTAGGGTTAGGTCAAATAATGTCATATTTGCATTAAAAATGACATAACTGAGCGAATGACACTTAATGACAGTTGTCATAAACATGCATAAAACCTCCTTCATATTCATGACATGTGTCATGTCATGATTATGAAGGTGCCATGTCAGTCTTATGCACACCCCTTCAAGTAAAGTGTTACCTTCTTTTTTTACCCATCTAAATATCTCAAATATAAAAATCCCCTTTTTATAAAACAAGTAAATGAAAGTCAGGGGAAAAAATTAAACTTGCAGCCTACTTTCAAACTGTACTTAACTTGTGTGACTGCACAAATTTATTGTACTCTACAGCTTATAAAACACCATATCTTTCTTATTTGTTTCTGCTGCTGTTCTTCAGTTTACAACTCAATGTTACAAACTAGAGTTGATGTGATGCTTTATAAACAACAGGAACCTTAATCGATTACATTTTTTTTTGTCTTCATCAGGTGTGTTTGGTGAGTCAGTGTCAGTGATGGAGGGAGATTCTATTACTCTACACCCTGATGTTACTAAAATACATGAAGAAGACGATGTAGTGTGGAAATATGGAGCTGAAAAGTCTCAGATAGCTCAAATAAATAGATATGCTAAAGTCTACTCCACATATGATGTTCCTGATGGGAGATTCAGAGACAGACTGAAACTGGACAATCAAACTGGATCTCTGACCATCACAAACATCTCAACTCAACATGCTGGAGATTATAAACTAGAGATAAATGGAGTGAAACTGTCATCAAAAACATTCCGTGTTTATGTCTATGGTGAGTAGAGATAATGTGTCCTGTCCTTCGCATGTTCTTATTTTATTACTTACATACTGAAAAGTTCACTCATTTTATAGTTTGAATGACAGACACACTAAATAGTGACGATTGTTGATTAGATTCATCAGGTTTCTGTTTATTCTCTCATGTGTTCAGCTCGTCTGTCTGTTCCTGTCATCAGCAGAAACTCCTCACACTGTTCTTCATCATCATCATCATCATCACAGCAGAATTGTTCATTGTTGTGTTCAGTGGTGAATGTGGGTCATGTGACTCTCTCCTGGTACAAAGGAAACAGTTTATTGTCCAGCATCAGTGTGTCTGATCTCAGCATCAGTCTCTCTCTACCTCTGGAGGTGGAATATCAGGATAAAAACAGCTACAGCTGTGTGCTCAACAATCCCATCAGCAACCAGACTCAACATCTGGACATCAGTCAACTTTGTAACATATGTTCAGGTACAGCAGCGCTGATATATGTGATTATTTACTAACCCGATCTCTGTATTTTTAAAGATCAGATTGACACAATCACTTTTACAATTACATTACTGCCTCTCTTTAGACGTTGCAGCACAGTCTTCTTCTCATCCTCCAGTCTCTCTGATAGTGTTGATTTCTGCTGCTGTTGTTGGATCTCTGTTGATTGTAGCTGCATTTGGGATCTTCTGCATCTGTAGAAGACACAGAAGAACTGGCCAAGAAGGCAAGTGTTACCTACTGCTTTTAAGAAGTATTATAACATATATCTATATAATTTCACATTTTTCAATCTGCATCGAAACAAAAATGCAAATCTGCCTTAATTCAATAATAAATCAACTTCTTACAGACTTTATGAATATAATCTGACCAGTGCAAAGACGAAGAGCTCCACTGGTGTTCAAATTAAGATTTTCATGAAAATTTCACTGATGGGTGATTCTTCATTTGTTGAGCTTCTGTGAAAATGAAATTTCATAAAAAAAAAAAAAATGCAAATAATGTATAATGTATAAGCTATCTGCAAAGAATGTATTTGCAACGTGAATTAGCCACATCGTAAAATATGCACAAATTGCTATGAGATCGGGTTGGTATTTTGAATAATAATAATGATAAATACATACTCTGCTAGAACTAGTGTGAGGGAAACAGTTTTAACCCTAAAAGGGGCGACGTATGCTGGGGGATATAAACATTTGAGAAGCTGTGGGGAGAAGCAGTGAAAGCATAGGTCTCATTTCTTGGTTTCATCTTGAAAGGGCCTGTAGTGGGAAATCTACTCACTCTCCGATAAAAGTTGATCTAGTTCACATATTTACACACGTTGGAGGGGACTTTGCTGTTTAAATAGCTGTTGTTCAGCATTAGCTTATTAGGTTTACATTGAAATGTTATAAATTAAATGCTTACATTTTTTTGTAATCTGTCTCTAAATGCTTGTATCTCAGGGGATACATCGCCCTTTTAGGGGTATAAATCAAGATATAAATCATACATATAGACTGTGTGACTTTGTGGCTTGTGTTTTAGAAAATCTAATCATTTTGTAATCTTGACCAGACTGTCCTCCAACAAAAAAACGACCCTATAGGTCATTTGTGCAAGCACCTTATTACGACCTATATTTACATTTTAAAGTTTAGTGCTCTCTAGCGGGCGTAAAAATAATGACAGTGTCGTGTTGCGTCTGTCGTCATGAAATGACGTATGACTGTCATTACCAATCAAAATGCGTGTTTATTTAAATGCAATTTGTGGACTTTTTACATGGTCCAACCATAGACTGCATAAAAATATGGACGTAGTGTCCGTGACATTACCCATAGGTTTCTGAAGAGCATTTTGAAGCCTAAAGTGAGCGGAGCTGGCCGTCGCCATCTTGACATCGCGTCATCTCGCATCACTCCCGGATAATCGAAAATGGGCAAAGAGGCAGGACGTGGGTGGAGCTGGTTGCTGAAACCACGCCCACCTAGCGTGACAAGCGGGCAATCCACCTGTCACTCAAGTGGCCACGCCCTTAATTATGCAGGCCTTTAAGGCTTAATATAATTTAAATGAATGAGATATAAAAAAAATTCACCCACCCACACCACTTTTTGTACCAGGCTATAAACATATTTTTTTCTACTGTAAATTTGGGCATTTTAACATGGGGAGTCTATGGGACTGACTTCCATTTGGAGCCAGCCTTTAGCGGCCAGTCGATTAATTGCAGTTTTAGTCACTTCCGTGTTGGTTTCACGAGAGAGACCGGAAGGTTGCCGCTTGGGTCCAACCCGATCTCATGGCAATTTGTACATATTTTACTAGGTGGCTAATTCATACGAATTCGTATGAATGACCACACCTAACCCCGCCCCTAAACCTACCCTCACAGAAATCATGCAAAATCAAGATATACAGTGCATATGGGTAGTCAACAAATAAAAATTGGACTGTGTCCTATGGTGTCACATAGAAAAATGTAGAAAAAAATCTTAACATACAAATAACATGAGAAAAAAGTATCTTCATTCTTAGAGTTACAAATAGCATGAGAGAAGTTTATCTTCAATGTTAGTTTTTTTTTTTTCCGTCACACCATAGAACACATTGATACATCAACTACCCATATACATTTTATGAGAACGTGCGTTCCTTGGGATTGAACCCATGATCACATGATTGCATGTTGTCGTATAACACAATGCTCTACCAACTGAGCTATACGAAACCCAAATTATAGCAAAGCATTTGCCATACAAAGCATTAATATGAAAGTGTCCTGTTGCCGATAGGGGCGCAATTGTAGTATACGCTCTGATGGGTCATATTTCAGGGATTTGGACAAACGACCTATTTTCAATAGAGTTTGGGTGTCACCCAGTGGTTGTTTTTGGTATAGTGCCCAAAGAAAATCTTGTATTGGTTGGAGGACATGTTGCCTTGACAAAACACATATCGTTGGAAAGGTCTGACAGTCAAGATTCCATATTTGGTGACTGTTTTTTAATAGAAGCCATATTGTGACAGAAAATGATTGATTTGTGATAGAAACGGGGAAGTCGTGGCCTAATAGTTAGAGAGTCGGACTCGTAACCCAAAGGTTGCTAGTTCGAGTCTCAGGTCTGGCAGGAATTGTAGGTGGGGGGAGTGAATGTACAGCGCTCTCTTCCACCTTCAATACCACGACTGAGGTGCCCTTGAGCAAGGCACCGAACCCCCAACTGCTCCCCGGGCGCCGCAGCATAAATGGCTGCCCACTGCTCCGGGGGTGTGTGTGTTCACTGCTGTGTGTGTGCACTAAGGATGGGTTAAATGCAGAGCACTAATTCCTAGTATGGGTAACCATACTTGGCCACATGTCACGTCACGAAAACTGCATTAGAAAAATTCAATAGAGTTTGGGTGTCACCAAAGAAAATCTATGTGCCCAAATAGTGCCCAAAGAAAATCTCACAGGAACCACAATTTTTGTGATATCAACTTCAAATTTGGAACATAAATCGGTTAGACATATGGCTTTGACTTTATAGCAATTTTAGAGTGCAACATATTTTATAAAATATTTATTTTATATAAAATAAAAACAATTAGTATACTACATTATCTTTACTGTAAACGTAAACTTTTATAACTTTTTTATACTTTATTTTTTTTAAATGCTATGTGTCTTCTTTAAAAAGAGACCAACCTTATGTCTGTACTCCAAAGCGTTCAGGAATTACAACCATGTTTTTACGAGCATTGATAAACAAGTGTTCTGTTTCCAGTGAATTTATACCCCCAAAGGAGCAACGTATCCTGGGGGATACAAACATTAAAAACAAATATAAGAGTCAAGTTTTGAAAAAAAATCATGACATTTTATTATTTGAGTCCCAATAAGATGGAAAATAGCATTAAATGAATTTTCTGATGTATCTTTATGGGTTTGCCCTTTTTAGGGTTAAAGTCAAACTGAATTCATTTGTTAATGCAATTGCATTTTGTTATTTAAATTGCATGCTTTAACAATCTAACTTTGACAGCCCTACTAACAGTGATGAAAAAGATCTAGTAAAGATTGTGTTAATGCATATGTTATTATTGTTGTGCAGATGAGGTCACTTATGCTGACCCAACGTTCTACAAAAGAAACACACAGAAATCGGTAAGATCATTTATGACTGTGTATGCATCAGTTCAGCGGTGAGTCAGATTTAGATGTGTGTTCTTGTCAGTATAATAAAACGTGATGTCCAATGTTACATAAAAGCACTGAAGCAAAACCAATGATGTAGATGCAGTAGATGTTTGACGGCATTAACTCAAGCTGGTAGATTACCAGAAATAAGGAGCTGAATCTGATCAATATTATTTGAAATTTTAGAATCTCAAAATCTATGGAAGCTTGTTTCTATGGAAAGCTGTTTCCACCACTTTTTTTTTTCTTGCAATTGTTAGTTTATATCTCACAATTCATAATTGTTAGTTTATAACTCACAATTGCAGGAAACAAAGTCGCAATTGCCTTTTTACTTTCTCTATTTTATGGTGGAAAAAAACAAAACAAAACAACAATTGCAAGGTAAACTCAGAATTCAAAGAAACTTCTGAATTGTGAGATATAAAGTCATAACTACCATTGAATTTTTTTTTATTTTTATTTTTTGTGGCAAAAACAGGCTTCCATAAATAATCTTCCATACAAAATAAATATTAATGAAGATTTTTTTTGTATTTACATTTTTACAATTATTTTTATATTTTGTTTTTACAGGAGATAAAAGCAGAACATCATTGTGAAGAGGATGACGTTGTGTATGAATCTGTTTTCATTAGTAGATGATCAAACTTAAACCTTTCTTCTGAACACCAGATCCCACTGTGTGAATGCTTTTACTAAGAACCTAATATATATCAGGAAATCCCAGCAGACACAAAGCAGAATGATTCTGAAGGGTCTGAAGTATGACATTCAGAGATGGACTAATGAAAAGACTTTGCTTTGTAGTTCTATGACTTCTAATAAATGATCTAAATCGTGTGGCTCATTGGAGTGTTTCATGTTTGACATTTAAAGCTTGTTTTGATCTCTTTGGTGGAAAAACATCTTTTGCGTGAGCATTGTCTATTACTGGTGGGTTGTGGTCAGTTTGCGAACGTATATCTTGATGTGTGATTAGCGTGTGGTTGAGGGGTGTTTTTCCATTCCAATGCACATGATGCAAACCGTTTGACTTCCGCTTTACACAAACAGCTTTATTACTAAAATACTGAACCCATCAATTCTGAAAATATCATAGACTTTGTGTGTATAAGCCTCATGACGTTATATATACTCATGCTGTGATCCTGCTGATAACTGCTAGTTTCCGTAGTTATTTTTTAGCTTCAGCAATAGGAGGAGTTGTTGTTTCTAAGAAGAATTATTCTAGACATCACACCTTTGTTTTATAAAGAACATCCTGTTTTTGTCTGCTAATCTCTGTGAGTGATTTTAAGAATGAATGCAATGTATGATTCACTGTTGTGATATTCTTACATAGGCATCAAGTGAAATGGTTGCAGACAAAAAGGGTTCAGAAAAATCGGCCTGACACAAAAAGGCATTTTAGTCATTGTAGCCTTTTAGTCAAATGGCAGAGGTCTGGAGATGTCCTATAACGCATCCTGTACAGCTGTGGTTATTTCAGCAATTTGTAGGCGTGTAATGTGTCACCTGAGTCTTAATGTCATGTGACTGTTGACTGTTGAGGGAAAAAAAACCACACAATACACAGCAGATCTACTTCTGTAAGATAAGATGTAGCTATATATAGATCTCACAGTAAAGAACCAATAATAAACAGGAATCCTTTGGTTTAAGTAAGAACCGGCTCCAAATGATTTATGAACTGTCTGAATTATTTAAACCATTAAAAGAATGAATAATTTAAATCATTTAAAGAATCACGAAACCGATTCATACCATATTACTAACCCATTTGACCAATATATTAAAAGGAACTAACTCAAATGAGAGATTCATTTATAAATTGAGAATTGACTGTCAGTGCTAATTAATATTTTAGCTACTGAAATGTGATTTAAAAGCGGATGCTAACACTATGGTATTGACTATAAGTCGCTATCTTTGCCACATGTAAGATTTGTAGATGGTGATAGAATATGAGTGTGATTATTATACTTTTGGCCTTAAGTGCAAAGAGCCCACTTTGTTACACAAACTCCACCCACCGATGTCTGGTTGGGATAAACAATAATCGTTATTTGCACTTAGTGTAAATAGCATGTTATATATATATATATATATATATATATATATAGTGAAAAGTTTAAAGTGACGTGACATGTGGCCAAGTATGGTGACCCATACTAGGAATTAGTGCTCTGCATTTATCCCATCCTAATGATATATATAAAATGGTTATATATATATATA